TCACGAGCACCATCTGGCTCAGCAGCGACACGACCTGCTGCCACTGCCGACGCCTGCTCTCCTCGCGCTCGCTGTTCAGGGCGCCGTAGGCGATGATGTTGGGATCCAGCTTCGCGGCCCGGATCTCGCTCAGCAGCGCCACAGCCTGCTGCCACTGCCAACACCTGCTCTTCTCGCACGCGCTGTTCACAGTGGCGTAGGTGATGATGTTGGGCTCCAGCTTCGCGTCCCGGATCTCGCTCAGCAGCGCCGCAAACTGCTGCCACTGTCAACGCCTGCTCTTCTCGCACGCGCTGTTCACAGCAACGCAGGTGATGATGATGTCGGGCTCCAGCTTAACGACTGCCGTCTCGTTCAGCAGTGCCGCAACGTGCTGCCACTGCCAGCGCCTGTTTTTCTCGCACGCGCTGTTCACAATGCTGTAGGCGATGGTAACGGGCTCCGATTTCACGACCACGATCTCGCTCAGCACCACTACTGCTGGTTGCCACTGCCAACGCCTGCTCTTCTCGCACGTCCTGCTCGCAGTGCCGTAGGCGATGATACTGGGCTCCAGCTTCACGAGCTGCCCACTGCCACTGCCAGCGCCTGCTCTTCTCGCACGCGCTGTTCACAGTGTCGTCAGTGATCTTGGCGAGCTCCGGCTTCACGACCACCATCTCGCTCAGCAGCGCCACTGCAAACTGCCACCTCCAACGCATGCCCTTCTCGCACGCGCTGTTCAGGACGCAGTAGGTGATGATAACGGGCCCCAGCTTCACGACCACCACCTCGCTCAGCAGCGCCGCAAACTGCTGCCACCACCAACGTCCACCGTTCTCGCACGACCTGTTCAGGATGCCGTAGGGGATGTTGGCGGGCTCCAGCTTCACGACCACCATCTCGCTTAGTACCGCCACGACCGGCTGCCACTGCCAACGCTTGCTCTTCCTGCGCGCGCTGTTCACAATGCTGTAGGTTATGATAACGAGCTCCGACTTCACGACCACGATCTCGCTCAGCAACGCCAGTGCTGGCTGCCACTGCCAAAGCCTGCTCTTCTCGCACGCGCTGTTCACAGCGCCGCAGGTGATGATGTTGGGCTCCAGCTTCACGACCAGGACTCAGCAGCGCCACTGTTTGCTGCCACTGCCAACGGCCGCTCTCCTCGCACGACCTGTTCAGGATGTCGTAGGTGTTGAAGATGTTGGGTCTCAGCTTCACGACCGCGATCTCGCTCAGCCGCGCCACGGTTTACTGCCACGGCCGACGCCTGCTCCTCTCGCAGGCGCTGTTCGCAATGCCGTAGAACATCGTGGCGGACTCCAGCTTCGCGACCAGGGTCTCGCTCAGCATCGCCACGACCGGATGCCACTGCCAACGCCTGCTCCTGTCGCACGCGCTGTTCACAATGCCGTAGGTGATGGTAACGGGCTCCAGCCTCACGTTCGCCATCTCGCTCAGCAGCGCCACAAACTGCTGCCACCTACAACGTCCGCCGTTCTCGCACGACCTGTTCAGGATGTCGTAGGCGATGATGTTGGGGTCCGGCTTCACAACCACCATCTCGCTCAGCAGCGCCACTGTTTGCTGCCGCTGCCAACGCCTGCTCCTCTCGCACGCGCTGTTCACAGTGCCGTGAGCGATGTTGACGGGCTCCAGCTTCACGACCACGATCTCGCTCAGCAGCGCCACTGCTGGCTGCCACTGCCGACGCCTGCTCTTCTCGCACGCGCTACTCACAGTGCCGTGAGCGATGTTAACGGGCTCCAGCTTCACGACCACGATCTCGCTCAGCAGCGCCACTGCTGGCTGCCACTGCCGACGCCTGCACTTCTCGCGCGCCGCGTTCACAGTGACGCCGGCGATGATGTCGGGTTCCAGCGTCACGAGCGCGATCTCGCTCAGCAGCGCCACGACGTGCTACCACTGCCAACGCCTGTTCTTCTCGCACGCGCTGTTCACAGTGCCGTGAGCGATGTTAACGGGCTCCAGCTTCACGACCACGATCTCGCTCAGCAGCGCCACTGCTGGCTGCCACTGCCGACGCCTGCTCTTCTCGCACGCGCTACTCACAGCGCCGTAAGTGATGATGTTGGACTCCAACTTCACGACCACCGTCTCGCTCAGCAACGCCAGCGCTGGCTGCTGGCTGCCGCGGCCGCGCCGTGCACCTTCCAGTCTCGCCGCCACTACTCCCTCCCGTCCTCTCGTCACTGTCTCCGCCACTGCCGTCCCTCCCCGTTCCTCCGGGCCCTCCGGCTCCTCCCATGTCGCTGCCGCCCCATCCTCCCGCCGCCGCTGCCTCCCTCCATGCCCACGTTGCCACTGCCGCCCCCTCCTCCTTCCTTCATGCCCCGGCCGCCGACACTGCCGCCCCTCCCACCTCCTTCTAACATGCTGCCACTGCCACCCACGCTTACACCAGCGCGTCCTTCTCGCACGCGCAGCGGCGAGGGCCGTGGCTGACCATGGCGGGCCCAAGCTTCTACACGAGCAGCTCGCGCAGCAGCGCCAAGAGCCCGTTGCCACTGCCGAGGCCTCCTCTTCTCGCAGGCGCTGTTCACAGGCCGTAGGTGATGATGGCGGGCTCCAGCTTCACCCCCAACATCTCGCTAAGCCGAGCCAGAGCTGGCCGCCACTGCCCCCTCTCGCAGGCGCTGATCACAGAGCTGTAGCGGCTGATGTTGGGCTCCAGCTTCACGACTGCCATCTCGCTCAGCAGCGCCACAACCTGCTGTCACTGCCAACGCTCTCTTCTCGCACGTGATGTTCGCGATGCCGTGTGTGATGATGTTGGGCCAGATCTCGCTCAGCAGCGCCACTGCTGGCTGCCACTGCCCACGCCTGTTCACGGCCGCGCTGTTCACTGCCACAACCTGCTGCCACTGCCAACGCCTGCTCTTCTCGCGCGCTCTGTTCACAGTGCCGTAGGTGATGATGTTGGGCTCCAGCTTCACGAATGCCATCCCGCTCAGCAGCGCCATGGCCGGCAGCCACTGCCGCACCCTTCTCGCCTCGCACGCGCTGTTCGGAGTGCTATGACTGATGATGGTTGGCTTCAGCATCAGTCTCCGCATCCCGCTGGGCAGCGCCAGGGCGGGCTGCCAGCGCGCTTGCCCTTCCCTCTCGCGCGCGCTGCCCAGGGTGCTGCGGCAGAGGAGCTCCTGCTTCAGGCTCGGCCGCGCCCAGCCGCGGCGACGAGGCGGGAGGTCGGGAGGGGAGAGAAGTGTGGCAAGGGCTGGGAGAAGGGCTGGAAACTTCTGCCACTGCACTGGCCCCGACCTCACCCCCGGCGTCTCGCTGAACAGAGCCGGAGCTGGCTGCCACTGCCGCTGCTTCCCCCGGTGGTCGGTGCTGCTGGTCGGCGGTCGGCGCTGCTGCAGCTACGCGAGGAAGACCACGGCCTTCATTGGGATCAGGGCGACTAACGGTCGCATATTCAGGGTCATCAGACGGCGGAGGAAGGGAGGATTGGGGATCAGGGCGACTAACGGTCGCAATTGCCTATGAGATTGGGGAGAGGGAAGGGATCAGGTTTTTTACACCTTGCTGCCGAAGGTCTGTCTGTCCAGGGACACACGCGGGATCAGGGCGACTAACGGTCGCATTTTCAGGTAACACGTGGGGTGGAAAAGTTCGGCGCTGCTCCTGCTGCTGCAGCCCATCGCTGGTCGGCGCTGTTGCCGGTCGCTGCTGCTGGTCGGCGCTGCTGCTGGTCGGTGGCCCCGGTGGTCGGTGCTGCTAGTCGGTGGTCGGTGCTGCTGCTGGTCGTCGCTGCTGCTGCAGCCGGTCGCAGGTCGGTGCTGTTGCTGGTCGGTGCTGCTGGTCGGCGCTGCTGCTGGTCGGTGGTCCTGGTGGTCGGTGCTGCTGGTCGGTGGTCGGCGCTGCTGCTGCTGGTTGGTGTTGCTGCTGCAGCCGGTCGCTGGTCGATGTTGCTGCTGGTAGGTGCTGCTGGTCGATGTTGTTGCTGGTCGGTGGTCCTGTTGGTCGGTGCTGCTGGTCTGTGGTCGGTGCTGCTGCTGCTGCTGCTGTTCGGTGCTGCTGCTGCAGCCGGTCGCAGGTCGGTGCTGTTGCTGGTAGGTGCTGCTGTCGGTGTTGTTACTGGTCAGTGGTCCTGGTAGTCGGTGCTGCTGGTCGGTGGTCGGTGCCGCTGTTTGTCGGTGCTGTTGCTGCAGCGGGTCGCTGGTCGGTGCTGCTGTTGGTCGGTGTTGCTGGTCGGTGTTGCTGGTGGTCGGTGGTCCTGGTGGTCTGCGCTGCTGGTCGGTGGTGGGTGCTGCTGCTGGTCGGTGCTGCGGCTGCGGCCAGTCGCTGGTCGGTGCTGTTGGTGGTCGGCACTGCTGGTCGGTATTGCTGCTGGTCAGTGGTCCTGGTAGTCGGTGCTGCTGGTCGGTGGTCGGTGCCGCTGCTGGTCGGTGCTGTTGCTGCAGCGGGTGGCTGGTCGATGTTGCTGCTGGAAGGTGCTGCTGGTCGGTGTTGCTGCTGGTCTCGTCGCTCCAGTTGCCCCAGCCTTCGCCCGGGCTTTCGGGTCGAAGCCCAGCATGGCCCGCCGCAGGCGCATCACCAGGTGCAGCAGGCGGCTGGCGCAGCACGTCCTCTACCCGTCGCCGCGCTTCGCCTTCGCCCCACGCGGGGTCGAGCCAGGCTGGCAGATGCTGGTGGCCCAGCACCGCAGCCGCGCTCCAACAGAGGCGATGGAGACCACCCGCCCGTCCTCGCGTCTGCGTCGCCGTCGCATGCCGCCGTCGGGGCGCAGCGTTAGGCTGCAATGCCCGCAAGGGTGCGGCCCCTGGCGGGCGTCTGCCTTCACCCTGCGGCCGCGTGCCCGGAATCGGCAGCCCGTTCTCGTCGCTCAGGGGCGGCACCTGATCTGGGCGAACGCCCTGAGCAGGCCCCTGTCTCCTGCGGCCGCGCGGCGGCGGCCGAGGCGGCGGTCGCGTCCTCGGCGCCTGCTCCAGCGCCCCCGGCAGGCGTGGGCAAGAAGACGCTGCATGGGAGGATCCCACTGCCGTCGAGGGAACCGCGCACCGCCTGCAGGTCCCCGCCAGCCGAGAGCGCGGCATCCAGGCGCCATCTTTCCTCCGCCGTGCCACGCACCGTCACGTCGAGCCCGCGCTCTCTGGGGGCGACGATCTGGATGGAGAGTTCCCACCGTAGCTTCCGTACGAGCGCGCCCCTGTCCTGCGGGAGCCGGCGCCGAAAGGCCGAACCGCCGTCCAGAGTCCACGCGACGATGCCGCCGCGTCCGCGCGCGGCGACGGCACAGTCAGAGCACTGCACGCCCTGCACGATGTTCAGCTCCTGGGCCGCGCGGGCCGGCAGTCCACCGAAGCGCAGTTCATTGGAGCTGCCGCCTGCTGCTCTGCGGAACAGCGCCCTCCGGACAGGCTGACTGCACCAGCAGCGATCGCAGAAAATCTGCCCTTGCCACGAGCGGCGGCGGCTGGCCAGCAGGAGGCGCCGCAGCAAGACGCCCAGATCCCCACGGCGCTCGCGAAGCGGGCGGGCCAGGGTCGTGAGCGTGAGCGTCGGCCGCCGTTGTGACGGATTCGAAGACGGCGCACGCTGCGCGCATCACGAGGCGCGCATCTGGCGGCAGCTGCCTGGCCAGCGTGCCACGGTAGGGGCACAGGCCCCACTCGATCTCCACCTCTACAGCGCCTGCAGCTCCCTGGAGGACGCACTGTCGCTGGTGCAACCGGGGGCATACGCGCACATCGAACTCAACCCCGCGGTCAGCCCACTGGTGGCGGAAGTTGGCGCCCCAGGTGTCGAGGAGTGCGCCGGCCTCGAGGCCATCCCTGAGGAACCCCCGCGTCTCGAGCTGCACCTTGGCGAGCCTGGGCGACATGCTATCGACCGAGCGCGCGGCCTCGTCCACCCGCGCCAGGCCGGTGCAGCCCATGAGCGGGGCGTCGCAGCCGGCGAGCGTTTGGAGGAGTTGGTCGTCGGTGAGCTGGTCGCACGCTGGGAATAGCTGCGACGATCTGACCAGAGTGGAGCACTGGACGTGCCGAACCCAACGCCCGGGTAGACGGTCGTAGCCCCAGCCCGCGGCGCCGTCGGTGATCACACACCTTTCCAGGAGAGCGGGATGGACAGGGCCCGGGGCACTGATCGGGGCATCGTGAGCGAAACGGCAGCGGCCGAGGCGATGCCATGGACAGCCAGCGCCGCAACGGCGCGGCGAGGGCGGGCCGCTGACCTACGCCTGGCACGGCTGCAAACTGCACGGGCAGCCTCGCTTCGCGGTGCCTCGGCAGAATGCTGGCACGCCGTGGCCCGGCCACTCTGCAAACGACAACGCCCCAGAAAGTCGCAAGCAAGCCGCTGCACACGGAGGGCGGCGACGGCGGTGGCTCCAGCCAGGCCCCCGTCTCCTAGCGCGCCATATCCAGGCGCTGCAAGCAGGCGATGCTGCACGCGGGCTTGGAGGCGACGCTCAAAGCCCAAGCGGCGCCCCCACGTAGCGATCCGATCCGCGGCGCCATGGCGCGGCCCCACATCTGCCACGCAAGCAGCAGGCCGTCGGCAGAAGCTCCCGATGCCGGGCCGCCATCGTCGGTGACGAGCATCGTTAGCCTGGTGAGCGACCTGCTAGTCACCGGTCGAGGCGAGCCCACAATCCATGGCCTCACCCACTGCAGCTGTCAACGAGCGGTGGCGCGGGAGGTCGCGAAGCACCTCGAGTCGCCGCCGCAGCACAACCCCCCGTCGCAATGCCCAGCACCTCCTCCACATCCGCCACGTGCTCATGGGAGCTGTCGGGGGCCCCGTCCAGGAGGAGGGCCGCATCGGCGACAGCACGAAAGGCAGCGGATCGCGAATACTTGACGCCGGATGCTCTGCCCAAGATCCGTAGGCAGCCGAGGGCCCAATTGGAAGGACGGGGCCGCTGCTGTTGGCGACGACGGTGCTGCCACTGCCGTCCTGCTGCCGCGCTGCCACTGCCGCCCTGCTGCCGCACTGCCACTGCCGCGCTGCCACTGCCGTCCTTCCCCGCTCCTCCCATCGCGCTGCCACTGCCATCCCTCCCCGCTCTCGTTGCTGACCCTTCTCGCAGGCACGCGTCGCAGCGGTGTAGCTGATGACGATTACCTTCAGCTTCGCCACGCATATCTGCCGGAGCAGCTCCGGAGCTCGCTGCCACTGCCCGCCCCTCTCGCACATGTTCGCCACAGCGTTGGAGTTCATGACACTCGGGTTCTGCCTCGACGTTCATATCTGCCTGAGCAGCGCCAGAGCTCGCTGCCACTGCTGTCACTTCTCGCACATGTTCGCTGTAGCATTTTAGCTGATGTCGATTGGGCTCAGCAGTTTCGCCACATATTTGCTCGGGGAAGGCCAGGGCTCGCAGCCAATGCTCGCCCTTCTCTGCCGTCCCTTCCCTCAACGCCATCCCCCCCCCCTCAGCGCCGCCCCCGCTGCCCCTCCCCTCGCGTTCCACTCCGCCCCCACTGCCATCCCACCCAGCCCCCGTGCCGCCACTGCCGCCCCTCCCCACTCCTCCCGCCGCGCTGCACTGCCGCCCCACCCTGCTCCCACTGCCCGCCTTTCTCGCAAGTACGTGTCGCAGCGCTGCAGCTGATGACGACCAGGGTCAGCCTCGCCACACACCTCTGTCTGAGCAGCGCCAGAGCACGCCGGCACCGCCCGCCCTTCTCGAGCGCGTTCGCTGCGGCGCCGTAGCTGATGACGGCGGGGCGTAGCTGCTTTAGCTCGGCAACACCTACCTGCCTGAGCACCGCCAGAGCTCGCTGCCAGCGCCCGTCCCTCTCGCGCGTGTTCGTCACAGCGTTGTCGCTGATGACGGCGGGGTTCAGCTTCGCCATGCGCATCAGCCTGAGCGGCGCCGAAGCTCGCTGCCACAGCCCGCCCTTCTCGCACGTTCACGCGCGAGAGCGGGACTCGCCAGAGCTCGCAGCTACGGCAATCCTGCGCCTTCCCCTCCTCCGCCTCGGAGCCGAAGACTCGGCCGCCAGCCGGAAGACGGCGCCTGGCCGCGACCAGCCGGCGAGTGCACACCATTCTGGGCCATGGAAAGAACCCCATCACGCAGCGCCTGCGGCGGCCAGCGGGGCCGCGACAGTTGGCCTTGAGCCAAAATGGCCACGGACACATGCGCCCCCCACACACAACTTGGCACTGTCTGTCACCCACCCAGCACAGCGCTTCGTGGCCCCATACGGAGCCCCACCGAAGCCCCCAGTGGGACCGTACGCATGCGTCACCCACCCAGCGCTCCGTGGCCCCATAGGGAGCTCCACCGAAGCCCCCAATGGAACCGCCCGCATGCGTCCACCATGCCCAATTTGGCATGTTCACCCACCCAGTACAGCGCTTCGTGGCCCCATAAGGAGCTCCACCGACGCCCCCAGCGGGACCGCCCGCAAGCATCCCCCACGCCCAATTTGGCACTTTGACCCACCCAGCACAGCGCTTCGGGGCCCCATAGGGAGCTCCACCGGAGCCCCCAGTGGGACCGCCCGCATGCGTCACCCACAGGGTGCTCCACCGAAGCCTCCAGTGGGACCGCCCGCATGCGTCCCCCACACCCAATTTAGCATTTTCACCGACGCAGCACAGCGCTTCGTGGCCCCATAGAGAGCCCCACTGAAGCCCCCAGTGGGGCCGCCCGCATGCGCCCCGCACACCCAATTTGGCATGTTCGCCCACCCCTTACAACGCTTCGCGGCCCCGTGGGGAGCTCCACCGAAGGCCCCAATGGGACCGCCCGCATGCGTCCCACACGCCTACATTGGTAGTTTCACCCGCCCAATGCAGCGCTTCGTGGCCTCATAGGAAGCTTCTTCACCGACGGCCCCAGTGCTACCGCCCGCATGCGCTCCCCCCCCGCCCAGCGCAGCGCTTCGTGGCCCCATAGGGAGCTTCACCGAAGAAGATATTCACAATTGCGGCACCCAGAACTTCATATGGTTGGGGGTCCTTCGCCCGGATAATTCAGCTTTGTTTTACGTTATAATGGCCGTTCTCTGTCTCGGAGCTTCTAGTAAGTGTCTAAACATTTAAACATGGTGCTCCGCGGTGTCCAGTAGCTCCAGGAGGCTCCGACACGGTACGATCTTTAACTGAGAAGAGAGATCGTGACAGATTGGTGCTCCCTGGGAGGCCCTGCCAGCGCCTCCTGGAAGCTTCCATGGAGCTTTTTCGGGAGCTATCTTTTTTTGAATTGCCAGGAAAACCCGAATCCTTTCCAGGAGCTCCCAGGGCCCCCAGGAAGGCTCCAAGACTCCACGATCTCCCGACCGAGACTGGAGATCGTGGCGGATGGGATGCCCCTGGGAGGCTCGACCCAAACCTTCCATGGCTGCCTTGAACGTTTTCTCGGGCTCTCTCTCTCTCTCTCTCTCTCTCTCTCCTCTCTCTCTCTCTCTCTCTCTCTCTCTCTCTCTCTCTCTCTCTCCGTCTGAGGGCCCCCAGGGCTCCCCGACTCCCCGACTCCCCGACTTCCCGACCCCCCGACTAGCCGACCTCCCGACTTCCCAACTCACCGACCCGCCGACTCCCCGGCCCCCCGACTCCCCGACTGGCCGACTCCCCAACTACCTGACTACCCGACTCTCCGACTCCCCGACTGGCCAACTCCCCGACTCCACGACTGCCCGACTGGCCGACTGGACGACTGACCGACTGGCCGACTCCCCGACTCCCAGACTCCCCGACTGGCCAGATCCCCAAATGGCCGACTGGCCGACTCCCCAGCTCCACTACTCCCCGACTGTCCGACTGGCTGACTGGCCGACTGGCCGACTTCCCGACTGGCCGACTGGCCGACTCCCCGACTGGCCGACTGGCCGACTGGCCGACTCCCCGACTGGCCGACTGGCCGATTGGCCGACTGGCCGACTGGCCGACTGCCCAACTGGCCGACTGGCAGACTGGCAGACTGGCCGACTGGCCGACTGGCCGACTCCCCGACTCCCCGACTAGCCGATTGGCCGACTGGCAGACCGGCCGACTCCCCGACTCCCCGACTCCCCGACTTCCGGACTTCCCGACTGGCCGACCGGCCGACTGCCCGACTGGCCGACTGGCCGACTGGCCGACTGGCCGACTCCCCGACTAGCCGATTGGCCGACTGGCCGACTGGCCGACTGGCCGACTCCCCGACTGGCCGACTGGCAGACTGCCCGACTGGCCGACTGGACGACTGACCGACTGGCCGACTGGCCAACTCCCCGACTCCCCGACTGGCCGACTGGCCGACTGGACTCCCCGACTGACCGACTGGCCGACTGACCGACTGGAGACTCCCCGACTCCCAGACTCCCCGACTGGCCGACTCCCCGACTGGCCGACTCCTCGACTGGCCGACAGGACGACTGGTCGACTGGCCGACTGGCCGACTGGCCGACTCCCCGACTTCCCGACTGGCCGACTGGCCGACTGGCCGATTGGCCGACTGGCCGACTGGCCGACTGGCCGACTGGCCGACTGGCCGACTGCCCGACTGGCCGACTCCCCGACTCCCCGACTGGCCGACGGCCGACTGGTCGACTCCCCAGCTCCCCGACTGGCCGACTGGCCGACTGGCCGACTGGCCGACTGGCAGACTGGCCGACTGGCCGACTGGCCGACTGGCCGACTGGCCGACTGGCCGACTCCCCGACTTGCCGACTCCCCGACTGGCCGACTCCCCGACTGGCCGACTCCCCGACTGGCCGACTGGCCGACTGGCCGACTCCCCGACTTCCCGACTCCCCGACTCCCCGACTGGCCGACTGGCCGACTGCCCGACTGGCCGACTGGCCGACTGGCAGCCTCCGACTGGCCGACTGGCCAACTGGCCGACTCCCCGACTTCGACTGGCCGACTGGCAGACTGGCCGACTGGCCGACTCTCCGACTCCCCGACTCCCCGACTCCCCGACTGCCCGACTCCCCGACTCCCCGACTGGCCGACTGGCCGACTGGCCGACTCCCCGACTGGCCGACTGGCCGACTCCCCGACTTCCCGACTGGCCGACTGGCCGACTGGCCGACTCCCCGACTCCCTGACTGGCCGACTGGCCGACTCCCGGACTGACCGACTGACCGACTGGCCGACTGGCCGACTC